ACAGCGTTTCTTTCTATGGACAAAATCTCTTCATTTGTTACCACAGGGGTTTTAAAGTCATGGAAAATGCACAGCACCATCATTTGAGTACTTGATTTGTATTCATATTTACATATGAATTTATATCTCTCTATAAAGGACATTTATATCAACATTTTCTTTTATTGATGGCCATTATATAAAGCAAAGTCAAAGTAAGGACTGGCAGTATCAGAGCTCCCTAATAATATAATTGACCACGACCAACCATCCAATTGAACACCTCCCTTTTGTGGTTGACTCATATAGCTTAACCATGCATGTGAATGAGATAATTATTTTCCATAATAAAAAAACAGTGCATTAAATTACCAATCAGAGAGTGAAATTGTGCATTCAAGAAAAAGTTTTGCCTTTATGTTGTCATAAGTAGGAATCATCTACTTTCTGGCATACGCAATTTCACATCCTAATGTTTTGATCTTTTTGACTTTCAGACCTAATGGCAGCCATGAACTGAATATCAATCCATCCATCCAGGGAAATAATTAAGGTTCAGCCATGCACCAGGAGAACATGAGTACATAAAAGATGAGATTTTCACTCAGGTATTCCTGTCCTTGCTGAACTTGTCCTCTAGAACAGGAGAAAACCAGATGACACAGGATTGATAATGTGACAGGCCTGTAGGCTTAGCCCCTAAATGCTAGTCACAGACATTCCACACCAACACATACTATACTAAAACCCCAATAAGATCAATTACCTCAGAAAGCAGAAATCTAAGTCATAAACACAACATACTTTGAACTTACCACTAATATTTATTGGAAAGTTAAGTTGAAATTACTTTTCACTTCCTGCCAAAATGAAAGACATTATCAAGGAAAACCCAAGTTAAAAAGAGTGGGTGTGTATTCTGCTCGAGCTGCCTGTGTAATTTAAGTGCTTTAATGTGAGTTACCTCATGTCATCTGGGAAATATTTATCAAAGTTGACTATCTAATGTGCTTAAAAATGTAATTGCTCTCTCAGTTTAACCATCAGGTGGTTTTGATAATAAAGTATCTCATTCAATGAAGTGGGAAAAAAAGCCAAGTTATCAACACTTGATGAAATGAGCTGCCTGGTTTTAAAGCACTTTTATTTTAGTTGTTGAACATATCTACTTGTTCAAAGACCTAACTTTTTATTCAAGGTACATTTCCGTCTTGTCTACTCTAATCCAAGCTACCTCACTATAAATCTGATCTACGCCCCTAACAGTCAAGTGATGCACAGAAAGTGAGACTGGTGAGTGAAAGACCTAAAAAAAAAAGAGGCAGGAGAACAGAGACAGAGCTTAGATTGAAGAGAAATCACTGATGTGTAAAAGCATATTCCACAATCAGGGCTGTGCTTTGTGAGTCATACAGTGACAAGACAGCAGAGGGGAGAAGAAAAGAGCAGAAGGTGTGAGTGATTTTCCGGAAGCAGAGAATGCATCTGAGAGCTCCTCCAAGGTCAGAAATGTAGCCCGAGCAAGTGTGGGAGTCACCACATGATGCTTAATACTGCTCTTTGTTCTGCCACTTGCCTTCTGACATAGGCATGCCTCTGTGTGTGTGTGTGTGTGTGTGTGTGTGTGTGTGTGTGTGTGTGTGTGTGTGTGTGTGTGTGTGTGTGTGTGTGTGTGTGTGTGTGCATGTGTGTGTGTGTGTGTGTGTGAATTGATGTGTGTGTGCAGTGAAGTGACCCCTATGGACTAAACATATACAAATACAAAGGTATATGCAAAAAAAAGGAAAAAACCTCAACCACCTTGACATGATAATAACATTATAGACTTATCCTACAATAATGGAAATGACGTTTATTAACACTTTTCGTTTACGGCTAATCGTACAACACATGGACATGACTTCAAACATGTTTAGGTTATCGACATTTACAATGATATGGGGTCATGATCTGGATGTTGACATTTGCATACATAAGAATGAAATATTGTATTATCATTTATGTCATTGTCAATTACTCAGTTGCATTCAAAAGGTTGTACATTTATAATAATATCAATAAATGCAATTGTTTTAGGGAAAAAATATCGCCAACATTGTACCGTGTAAATTGTATAATGTGGGGCGGGGGCATTTACCCAAAATAATAAATGATAAAATAATCCCTTAAAGTCTCATACTGATTCAACAATCAGGGCTGTTTTTCTTGGAGAGACATGCACTCTAGAGGCGGCAACGTTCATGCAAGGCACTCGTCACCCATGTGACTAGACTAGTTGTATGCTGCAATTAATGCTAACCCTAACCACTTGAGCTCAGTTTCTTAACTCGCTGCAGACCCTTGGGTCTTGCCAAAAAAAGCAGTTGAATTCATAATAGTTTATTATAAGAGTACTTGCACCTCAGTTCAAAGCTTAAGTACATTTGCATTATACATGTGAAAAGAATAAGGCAAACTAGTGTAAAGCCCATGCAGAATATTGAGTGAAATCAAACAAGGTCAAAATCATCCAAAATGTCAGTTGTTTTTGTCTTCCATTAAGTCAAGCTATATCTTCATGTGAGAGCAATGGTTACGCCAGTTGGCTTTCCCTTGATGTTTAAAGTGGACCAATCATGCTATATTTGAAAAATATATTGTAGGGCCATACCTATACAAAACATGTCTGTGAAGTTTTTTTTTCAAAATACCAAACAGATCACCCATTGTAGCCATCCCTCATACTGCTCAAACCTCTCTTTTGAAACCCTATTAGAGAAACGCGGATCTTCCTTAGCTTGGAAAAAATAAAGAAGAGGAGGCGGAGCTAATGCCTGATCAGTATTCTACCGGAGATGAAGTTAAATTCGGTTGTGATAAAACGCCATCCTTTTTAAACCACGTCAAGGATTATTTCTGAAATAGTATGGAGCTCAAATGCTTTTTCCCATTGCAGGTTTATCACAAGGTGAGTTATTTTTTTATTTCCTGCTTTTCAAACACATGTGCTCTTCAGTACAGGTTAGCTCTGAGTATTAGCGAGGCTTGCTAATGTAAACAAAGACGCCCAAAACACGTCAGGCATTGTTTCTGATAGCAACTTTCTGTGGGTCCACTGCCGATTTGACGTCAGTTCAGATGGAATCTGTATCCGCTCGTTGTACGCCCATTTTTAAAAGATTTGGGTACGGAGGAAAAGAGAGAGGGTTTTATTTTCTGAAGCTGCGCGAGTTCCCCGACGCACCGGGGACACATATGTATGTATAAAAGACATCACAAGGTGCATTTTGCAGGATAGGTCCCCTCTAAGTTTAAAACTTATGGTCAGAGAAGAAAAGGTTAAGGGAAAAAGAAAAGGAGATGGCTGAAAGAGAAAAAGAAAATACATTTATTTTGATATGTTGACAACCTAGAGATCTTAGGAATATGGTCCTTGGTGCAACCTTTTTGTACATATTTCACCCTTGCACCCCCCTCAGCGTGCCTGACACAGTTCACTGCTTTTTTACAGACTTCAAGGTCTCCCATCACACTGCTGCTTGTCAAGCTGCTGCTTGTCAAACTCTTCACTATACCCTGCCTCTCCTTTATCTTCCTGATCCTGTTTTTATCTTAACATTTAACCTTCCACATTAGCCTTTGTGATGTCATTCTGCCATTTGATTAATTAATTCAGATATTATTGTGCATTTAGTAGCCTTCACTTAATTTTAATTTTTTTGTATTTAGTTTGCTCCTTTATGGAGCCTTGGCACTACTTGGCTTTAGAATTCAGATAGCTTAAATCAGGGGTGTCCAAACTATGGCCCGGGGGCCAAATGCGGCCTGCAGGCCATTTTGAAACGGCCCTCAGCATATTCAAAAAGTTTAATGAAAAATGGCCCACAAATGAAACTTGCGCTTGTCTTATATTGTACTTAAATATAGGGGTGCACCGAATGGGAAATTCTTGGCCGAAACCGATACCGAAAATAGGAAACAGTTGGCCGAACATTCGGTGCACCCCTATATTTAAGTACAATATAAGACAAGCGCAAGTTTNTGCATTTTGAAATGCTCCCGATTTCTGAGGTCTCAAGGTTGGCAAGTATGCCTGTAGCTCAATACTGATAAAGAATGAGTCTTAGTAGTACAGGCTATGTTCAACTGTAGATGTAACTGCGACATTTCATTACAAGTGAATGAAAGCCACTGGAAGTCAGGAGACTCTTGGAGTCACAACAGTCTACTCAACTGCAGCATATGCATAGGCAGTAGGTGATGATGACTGAAACGTGTCTGTGTATGTTAGGACTGATTCTTACACATCAGAGTGAGATGTTTTCAGATATTGGGGAGTAGGTAAGGCTACTACAATATTTGGCAGAAAGAAAACGTATGTAAGGCCTTTTGTGGTTTGTGAATTGTTTTATTAAGATCTAAGAGCTTTTACACTATCAATGGGGAAAGCAGTCAAAACATACATTTTCTAACACCTAGTGGGTTTTTTTGCACTATTTCTTCTTTTAATTTAAGTCAGGGGTGTCCAAACCTTTTTCACTGAGGGCCACAAACAGAAACATATACGACGGGCTGGGCCACTCACCAGAGGTGAGGTATATTGCCTCACAAGTTAGCAAAATCAATCAAATGTGTGTTTTGAACTTTAATTGACTGAATGTATTAGTAAGGTGGGCTTACTAACACATGAATG